GGGGGAAGTGTACAAATGTTGTTCTGGTTTGCATACAGGGTCTTGATTCCTTGGCTTAGAGAGCCAGTTTGGTGTAGTGGTTAAGTGTGCGGACTCTAATCTGGGAGAACCGGGTTTGATTCCCCACTCCTCCACTTGCACCTGCTGATGTGACCCTTGGGTCAGTCACAAGCTCTGGCACAGCAGTTTGTGTCAGAGTTCTCTCAGCCCCACCTATCTCAAAGGGTGTCTGTTGTGGGGAGGGGAAGGGAAAGGAGTTTGTAAGCCGCTCTGAGTGAAGGGTGGGGTATAAATCCAATCTCTTCTTCTTTTTGCTAAATCAGTTAAAGAGCTGATCGTCCACACATGGGTGGTAGTGAGGAGCACATTCTGCCACTTCTATCGAGTTGCCAGCTGGTGTTGTTTTAAGAGGCATTTATTTCCAAATACCAGCATCCCAGAACTAATCACCTCTCAACTCAGAAGTAAAATTTTCAGTCTCACCCTTTTAAAAGTTTAAAATGTAGTTTTCTCAAGATTCAGGTGTGCACTGTGTTTGGCTTTGCTCTCCTTCATAGTGTGAGCAGTGTTCCCTCTAAGCTGAGTTAGTGTGAGCTAGCTCACAATTTTTTAGCCTCCAGCTCACACATGGCTCCAGAGCAAATTAATTTATGCAGTAGCCAAATCGCTTGTTCACAACTTTAATCGCTTGCTAACAACTTCAATGCCAGTAGCTCACAAGACTTCACAGCTTAGAGGGAGCATTCTGTACCTCTGGGGTCTCAGTAATTGTCTGCATAACAAGCTAGAGGTTTTTTTAAATGAAAATATACTGGCGTCTCAAGTCTGGATTTGAGGTTTAGAGGCGTGGGATGGCCTGCCTATGGTCAGGAAGGCTCCCACACTTCCGCCATTTTGCAAACTATTTGGAAGTGCCCTCTTGAACAGTTGTTTTACAAAGGCATGGGTTCAGGAAGATGCTCCTGTAAAAGGGATGGGTTGGTGGATTTTACTGCTGGGTGTAGTGCAATGTTCCCTCTAAGCTGTAGAGTCTTGTGAGCAGAAATTCTACTTTGTGTGCTACTAGCATTAAAGCTATGAGCGAGCAATTTGGCTCCTGCTTAAATTAGTCTGCTCTGGAGCCATCCTTCCTGAGCTAAAACAAAAATCTGTGAGCTGGAGGCTGAAAAACTGTGAGCTAGCTCACACTAACTCAGCTTAGAGGGAACACTGGTGTAGTGTGTGTTATCTGTTGCTGTATGAACACACGAAGCTGCCTTATACAGAAGCAGACCATCAGTCCACCAAAGTCTGTATGGCCTGCTCAGACTGGTGGCAGCTCTCCAGGGTCTCAAGCCTGAGGTCTTTCACATCACCTACTACCTGGTCCTTTTTCAAAACTGGAGATGCCGGGAACTGAACCTGGGACCTCCTAGGTGCCAAGCAGATGCTCTGTCACCGAGCCTGTATGCATTCACCTGCTCTCACCGCATTGCGTTTCTGCTTACGTAATGCCATTTTCTGGGCCCTACCTTTCTTTTGCTGTGCAGTGCATTACTGATTCTTTCAGGTCAGGGGGCGGGGGAGCAGCTTGCTGCCAGTTTTTAAACCTACCCTTATAACAGTCAGCCCAGGAAATCCTTTTCATGGTGGTAGTTTCAGAGGGTGGCCGTGTTGGTTTGCAGAAGAGCTAGATTCGAGTCCAGCCGTACTTTAGAGACCAACCAGATGCCTGACGAAGGGAGCTCTGACCCTCGAAAGCTTAGATCTGGAAAATCTTGTTGGTCTCTAAGTCGCTACTGGACTCAAATCTAGCTCTTTTATGGTAGATAAATCATTTATATGTGGCTCTTTTATGGTAGATAAATCATTTATATAATGTATGCCTAGAGGACTGTTTTTGATCCTGGGCTGTAACTGTCTCAGTTGGAGGGCGTGGATACCAAGATGCGCGTTTTGTCTCTTTAGGCAACAGAGCTACTCGATGCAATCTTGGAAGGCTATCCTAAAAGCAAGAAGCAGTTCTTTGTGAGTACACACCCACTTCACCTGACATGGCCGCAGAGGGTGGGTTGAATGGGCTGTTCTTGGTTAGGTGCTGTACCTTAGACCAGCTATAGGACACCTTTGTCCTGCATCTTAAGGGATGCGTGTTGTCTTTTTTTGTTAAGGAGGAAGTTGGCATTGAGACTGATGAAGATTTCCATGTTACTTTGCCTCCCATCTGAATTAAGGGCTCTTCTGGTACACGAAACAGCATCCACCTATTTAGCATTCAACTTCCATCTCTGTATGGTTTTTTTTTTAAAATCGTTTGCATGCAGTGGAGCAGGGAGGGGGGGAAAGCAGACCCCCCCTACTTAAATGCCCTACTAGTTCCAGTCGTCCTCCCCCGGCATCTGGGGCTGGTTGCCATTCTATCCTTCAAGCTGTTTGTCCCACTGTCCTGGATTGCTGGTAAGCACTGGAGACAATGGTGGTGGTGGGGGAAAATAAATATTTAAATTACTCTGAGAGCTGAGTCGTCATTTCTTTGTGTATGAACTGGGAGCCTGTTAAGGCCCCTAGCAAAGCCCTGTTCCCCCTGGCTTTTCTTTGCATGGTCACGTTGAATGGCGACAAGACTCAGCCCGGAACTGCAGTGGCTTTTTGGCTCCTGGAAAAGACTCTAAAATGACAAAGCTTTAGTTCTGGTGCCTTCTTTCAGGTCAAGTGGTTAAGACGCTGAACTGCAGGCTGTGGAAGGTCAATAGTTCAGCAGTTTGAGACCCGGGTGCCGCATGATGGAGTGAGCTCCCATCTCTAGTTCCAGCTCCTGCCAACCTAGCAGTTCGAAAGCAAGAAATTGCAAGTAGATAAATAGGGACCACTTTGGTGGGAGGGTAACAGCGTTCCGTGCGCCTTGGTGTTTAGTCATGCTGGCCACATGACCACGGAAACGTCTTCGGACAGCGCTGGCTCTTCGGCTTTGAAACGGAGATGAGCACCGCAACCCTAGAGTCCGACTCGACTGGCTTTCGAGCAGGGGAACCTTTACCTTTACATCAGGCATAAACACTCAAGTAATTCAAAACACTTACCAAAGTTTATTAGAACTGCTTGTTATATTATAAAAATAGTTATAACTTTCCACAGCTGAGGTCTGCTTATATCTTTATAATGAAAAAACAAGAGAGCAGCAGTTCCCTTGAGGTTGGCTTGGTCTCCCTTCTCTGTATCCCTGGGGCTTGGGAGGGCTGAGCAGGCTGCTTCCCCTTTCCAGCTGTGACACTGAAGGCCAGCTGTGCTGATAAACGGATCAGACCACTCTGCTTTACAGCAGGGCCATATATATGCAGAGAGGATTTGATAAGAGGCACACAAATCAATTAAGGAAAAATGAACAAAAAACCTTACAGCTTTTTCAAAGAACTGGGCTGTAGGGTCGGTATGCAAGGACATGCAAAATATTACCTAGCTTTACCTAGCACGCCAAGGGGTGCGTGTGTGTGAAGCACAGAGTACACGGAACTCTGCTTTAGAGTTGCTTGCTCCTAGTTATCATCTTTAAAGCCAAGGCTCATATATGACCGTTTAAGATCACAGCCACAGATTGAGTTAAGGGGAAGAATTCAGAGGAAGTTCGTGCCCCACTGCTTCTGTACCCTTGAGAAAGGAGCCAGACGCCTTGTAGAATCCTAGGGCTGGTGGTGTGTTGTAGGTGAACTTCTCGGACATGCAGATCCACGCAACAGAGGCAAGGCTCAGAAGTGAGCTGTTGCAGCTGTTAACTCTCTCAGACATTTGAAGCACACTTGAAAGGGCCACAGTGCGAAGAGTATTTCAGAAGTAAAGGCAGTCAGTAGTCCCAAGAAAAACACAAAAGAGGAAGTAGCATCAGGCTTCTTGTCCTCATACAGCTATCTAACTCTTAGGCTACCAGAGAGAGAGCAAGTGAGGGTTAGTAGAGCTGGCTCTTCAGTTGTTGCAGGACGCTGATGACTATATCCCGCAGGGTCTGGAAAGAGACAATCCACAGCAAGAGCAGTCAAGGAGGAGTGGGAAGACAGGCGGGGATTAAAAACGTAAAGGCTCCTGTCCAGTGACAGTGAGTCAGCCTCTGGAAAGGGAACAAACTCCTTGTTTTCCCCCCTTGTGATACAACAGCAGGAGGGACAGCCAGAACTGTCCCCCAAGTTATGCTGAATAATTCTGTCTCAGACTGATTTGACAATGTCCTGAGAATCTGACGGCAACTTAAAAATAATTTTCTAGACAACATGACAGCAAAGAAATGCTTGCTAAAGTTAAGCAAATCTCCTGAGTAAGCAGAGCTGTACGGCCCGTGTGACCGGGGCCAAAGTTAAGCAAATCTCCTAACTGAGTAAGCAGAGCTGCATCTTCCACATAATTGGAAGATATGTTCTATATTCACATCTCCTTCACACCAATGAAAAACCTACTGTTCTTAAACACCTGAAACTTGCAGCATGTAATTATCTTTAAGTGCCCTGATTCATGAAACCTGTACTAAAATGTTTGATGAAAATCGCATGAGGCGTAAGGAAACTACTACTTTCTCTAATGGACAAATTGGACAGAGGTGGAGGACCTGGGCTACCCTACGCAAGCGTGTTGTGTGGGGACATCAAAAGGGATAAAGAAAATCCAGACATCCTTCATTCTGTATAATCCCCAGCTTCTGAGAACAGAGCCCACTCAAGGCAGGAAGGCCATGCAAGTGGACATCCCAGGCTGCAGCATTACCTGTGGCTTGCAGTGCTCCTCAATCCAGCTGAAGACACAGGCTGAGAGTTCCTGAAAGCTTGTCACTGAGATGGAGGCATTGAAGGACTGGAAGAGGGAGTCCATGATGCCCTGGAAAACGTTGAATTTCACCTGGTCAGAGACCTGGTTCTTCCCTTCGTTAGGGTTGTCCTGATGAGCTTTGACAATCTGTTCGTAGTTCCTGAAATGCACGAAGGTTTGCTGTGAGTTTGAGGGAAGAGCACCAGGCCTCTAACTCTTGGGCTTGGAGAGGGAACCCGTCTCCAGGAACAAGAAGCCTCCCAGAGTCATGTTGCTGCGAAACAGGCATACTCTCTCAAGACAGAAAGGAGTCTGCTGTTCACAGTTCAGGGAAAAGAGTTCCCTCTCCAGTATTCAAGGGGAGGCAAGTATTGAGGCAGGATGTCTCTCTCTGTGTGTACATGTATGTGCGTGTTTCTGTAAGCACACAAGTTCTTACACTTTCATAATTTTCAAGGCCATCACATCTTTCCGGAGTGTGGAGACCTCTTCTTCCTGCTTCTTCTTTTCCTTGTGCAAGAACTGAATATAGTCAATAGCTAAGGAAGCAAGAAGGGCAATAGGTTAGAGAGCCTTAAGAGCCACCTGCCCTCGTGTGGTTCGGGGGGGGGGGGCGCTTAGGCAAACAGCGTTGGCCCTGCCACCTCCGTCCTCAGGAGGCAGGCAGAGACGCTGGCCCTGCCACAACAAGCCTTGACCACCACTCAGAGTCCCCCACTCCAAGAACAGATGAAAAAGAGGAGAGTCACCCGATGACGGGGAAGTCATGGCCACCGTAAGATTACTGGGGGGATGGGGGTGGTGGCAGCGGGGGTGATCAGCAGCCAGAGCAACACATTCTTCCCCTCCAGCCCACCCACGCCCCCTTCACTCACTCTTCTGCAGTACAATCGCCTTGCTTAGCTTCTGAGAGCCTATTGAGAAATCCTGCTGCTGGCACGTGGGCACAATTGATTGCAAGTCGTCGTAGCCTTTCTGGAAGAGAGGCAGAGCGGCATTAAACTCAAGGCCAGGCCGTCCCACAAGGCAAAGAGACTGAACAGCGGCAGTCCTGCCACGCCCACAGAGAGCGTGGGTGTGTGTGGGTTCCCTTTCCATGTTCTTCTGAAGCGGAAGCAGCACATCTAAAGGAATGCAGGGCAGAGCTGGGCCGGGGGCTCATTCAGAATTCCTCACCTTAATGGCATCCCTCCTCTTCTGCTCCGCCTGGGTGTGAGCACGACGGCGACGGTCCTTGTATATTTCCTTGTAGGTCTCCTGCTGGTAGTCGGAGTCTTCATCATCTGCAGCAGGAGAACAGTCCTTGTCAACTAAGGGGGCAAGGCACAGGGGAGGGACCTGAGGGAGATACTTGCAGGGGCTCCAGCCCCTCTCGACCCCTTAAGATTTCAGGGGGCTCAGGTGACTTGAAGGAGAGGACACGGGATTGCTAAAAACCAACTGTCAGAGAGTTAAGAGCACCAGTCAGTTTTGAGAATTCTCTCCAAGGGAAAAAACAAACGGGGACAAACCAGTTTATGAAACCACCACCCCTCCTTCTCACTGTTGTCAACCTCCATGGCCCCGAGGGAAGGAGGAACAGGAAAAGACCAGGGCCTCCGGCCTGCTGGCACCTTGCAAATTAAGGGACAAGCTGACTCAGCCAAATAAACCCGGGAGTGCCGTATCAGCACCGGGTGTGGCGTTAGGCCAGATTTGCCACAGGACAGCCCCCCACTATTGCTTTTATCCCTACCAGGAAGCAATGGCCCACCCAGAGGGAATAAGGGGGGTATTCTGATCTGCTGCACAGCTGGGGTCCCCCCCCACCGTGGCAATCCCAGACAGAGGGGAGCCAGTGATTCTTACCTGTATTTGGTACAGAAGAGGCACTGGTGGAGCCGATGCTGTTAGCACGAGACGCGATGCTCCCTTTCCTCCTGCTTTCCACGAAAAGAGCTGAAAACACCAGAGAACACCTGAACAAGCGTGCTGGTCCAGATCAATGAACTGGTCACCTCTTAGTAACTTTCAGCCAGGGCTTTTTTTGTAGGAAAAAGCCCAGCAGGAACTCATTAGTGTCATAGGCCACGCCCAACAGCAGAAACACATTAGCATATTGGGCCACACCCCTGACAATGGAGCTCATTAGCAAATAGGCCACATCCCCATGCCTTCCCTTGGCTTGCCTGGGTGCCCCGCGGCTGTGGGGAGTCCAGGCAAGCCGGCCCTTGGATAGGCCGGGGAAGGCACAGGGAGGCATTTAAATGTCTCTCTAATCCTTCCAGGACCCCTCTGCCCCTCTTGTCTTGGAGTCACTGGGGGGTCACTCTCCAGGCCTTCCCTCTGTAGCCACGCACACAGAGGTTTTGGCTGTAGTGGGCGTGGCCAACTCTGAAGCCAGACGGAACTCCGTTCCTGTGCGTTCCTGCCCAGAAATAGCCCTGCTTTCAGCCATTCTTTTGTATTGGCAGTCAGGGTGATGAAGCAGAGATAAAAAGAGGGGTTCCCCTCCCCCACGCTTTCAGGGCATCCTTCTATCTGAAGAGAGAACCTAATCCGCTTCACTGATGGAGCCATGCAACAAAATCAGCACAGAGAGCAGGAGTGTGCACAGTCTTGTGTAGGTGGCCATGGCTGAACACCCCACAGTGCCTGGCACACGGTGCCACTACTTTGTTCACCACAGCCACTCCATCCTTTGGGATGATCCCTTTCAACAGCTGGCTTCATGCGACACCCCGGAGGCACTCACAACCTCTGATGTTCCACTCAAATGAGACTTTGTTCCATTGCCAGAGTGGGAGGGGTGGACAGGAAGTATCACTCGGACTTCAGCTGGCCCTTGAAAGTATCTGAATTCTGCCAAAGCTCAACCAAGTCAGGAAGAAAACCCGGCTCCTCCACTTTGTATGCATAGAGAGCTCTGGGGAGAGTCAGGGCCAGTGTTCCCTCTAAGCTGAGTGAGTGTGAGCTAGCTCACAGTTTTTTAGCCTCCGGCTCACACATTTTTGTCTTAGCGCAGGAAGGATGGGGCTCCAGAGCAAACTAATGTATGCAGCAGCCAAATGGCTCGCTCACACCTTTAATGCCAGCAGCTCACCAAGTAGAATTTTTGCTCACAGGACTCCACAGCTTAGAGGGAACATTAGCAGCAGGCTCAAGCACAAGCTGGCTATGGAGTGTGAGAGGCTCCCAACAGGCAGGAAACCAGCATCCGCCAAAGCACCACTAATCAGGGGAGGGGCAGGACCTCGAAATATTTAGCAAGAATGTAAGTAATCAAGTCAGGAGGGGCAGCTAGTGCAGGGGCTACCAGGGAGGTGGGTTCAAATGCGTGCCGTGAAGCCCCCTGGGTGACCCTTGGCCAGTCACAGACTTTAGCTTGTGAGGCTAAAAGGGATGGTGTCTGCCTGCCTGAGTGTCTGGGAGGAAGGGAAGGAGAAACATGTACAGGACAGAGAAAGGGACTACCAGGTACTTACCAGGATCCAGCCCGTTGTCACTAAAGGATGGGTCGACCTGCCACAAGAGAGAAAAATTAGAGTGTCCCCCTTCAGTGCTGATGGCTCCTGAACTATTCCTTCTAAGGCCCCGGTCACACGGGCCGGATATCGTGGGGGGGAGGCGTGGCTAACTGCCCCGGAGGAACCTAACGCGTGGCCGCCCGAGCACACGTCCCGGTCAAGGTCCCGTGGTTCGGGGGAAATTCTGATCAGACAGGTATCCTCCAGCGCGGCACAGAAGCCGCGCCGTGCGATCGCACTAGCAATCCCTCTTTGTGCGCATGCGCTGTTGGGCGCTGTTGCGCAACCTGCAGAGACGAACAGTGGCGGGCACCGGATGCCACGTAAGTCCACCGGGAACGTGATCAGACGCCCGCCCTTGGCCTGCAATTTCAGGAAACTAGTACCTCGTAGGTACTAGTTTTTAACTCCGCACCTTTGGCGGGGAGCCACGGGTTCGCCACGGGAGCACTGCGGTTCGCCATGGAAGCACTGCGCTTCCCAGATGTTGGGGTGAGATCGCACCCGGAAAATCCAAGGGACTCCCGTGCCTGCCTCTCCTGCGGCAACTTTGCCAGGGCCAACGTGGGCTTTGCCAGGGGCTGACAGGCCTGAAAATCTGTCCTGAATGCACAGAGTGACGCTCAGCAAGCCTGCGGCAATACCCCACGGAATAACTCTGTGGTGGAAAGGGAAATCAGAAGCCTGTCGTAGCCTCCGTCACAGGTTCCTGACAAGCGACTGCTGCATTACTGAGAACTGACACCCCCTTTGGAGTCTGCTACTTTCAAAAAATAAAAGGCCCCCCCAGCCCCAAGGTCCAGGTGAGGGTGCCGGGCGTGGGACTCCTGCAAAGGGGCCTCTGCCGCGGCCTTCCTATCATTTCCAACGCAGAGGAAGCGGGCCGATCAGCCTCCCCCTTCGCCGCCACGGCTTGGGGGGGGGGGGTTGCCCTTGACAAGACCGCAGGCTGAGGCAGCGGCTGCCCTTCAGAGCGTTCTGGGCCGGAAGGACAAGCGGCCCGGACCGGCGTCAGCCAGCTTCTGGTGCCAAGCCAGAAGACGTCTACACCAGGCAGTGAGGGCGCGTGCAATTCAATGAATATATGTTGTCTTCCCTTTCCCCTACAAACATTGTTTGTGCTTTGAGCCCACTGGATAAATGGAAAGTATTATTATTATTACTTCTTACAGGGCTATTTTTGGGCAGGAACTCACAGGGGGGCTCCCGAGTTGGCCACGCCCAGCAGGAACTCATTAGCATGATAGGCCACACCCAACAGCAGGAACTCGTTAGGATTGGCTACATTAGGGGTGTGTGGCCTAACATGCAAAGGGGTTTCTGCTACAAAAAAAGCCCTGGTTTTGACAACAAACAAGGTAAACAGAATAA